CGTCGTACGACGTACTACTACACTACACACACACACACACACACACACACACACACACACACACACACACACATAGCACGCACACACACACACACACACACACACACACACACACACACACACACAAGTATACAGAGTTTATACTTAGTGCCGTGCACTCCCAGAGGAAGCCACACCATATGTAGTGAATTAGGGAACATCTGCCTGTGTTGCTCATGGCATCCATCTTCCTTCCTTAAACTCTCACATGTGGACAGGCATTGAACTATAATTGATCAAAACTCTTCTCCTTGAAAGATAGCATGTCTGAAACAAAGGGTCTTGTTAAATGTTGTAGTTTTAATGAGATCCAGACAGACAACAATGTTTCTAACAACGAATCAGGACTTGAGCTTTTGCTTTTGGTCGTTACTTAAACGTGATGCTTTACCATTACCATTATCCCCTACATACACTGATCTTATGTGATGTTATTAAGCTCTAAGCTAACTTAGACACACTACATCAGAAAAGCAACCATCACACTGTACTAAGGCACAGCCGTGCTAAATGCTTACAATGCATTATGTTAGTTTAATGCTTAAAATGACAATGCTAGCATTCTCATGTTTGGCAGATATTGTGTCCACAGCGGTCACCATTTTAGTGTTGTGTAATAGTATTCAATCATTTTCTAATTGGAATCAAACATTGAGTATAGATGAGGAATGGGAAGGTGTTTGATATTGGAAGAATTACATTTTTGATTGCAGTAGATGGAACATAAGAGATCACCATAGTTATACCAATTGTTCTCAATCCATCTCGTTGTTAAGACATTTCCCTTTAAACCAAATGACAACCAAGGTCAGGGGATCGAGTTAACAGGATTTATTGTCTTTAGACCGTGAACATCTGTACAATTTGTCCAGGCAATTCATCTGACAGTTGTTGAGATGTATATGTTGTGATTTAGGGTTGTCTCTCTGTCCTATTCTTGTGAATGCAATATGTTGAGAAGGCTAAGCAGATTCTATGACTGGCCGTACAGGCCGTAATTCATACTGGTCCTCTCACACACATACATTCTCCTTTTACATACATATATGTTCACTCTTACACACATACATTCTCCTTTTACATGCATACATTTTCACTGAATGTCCCCCCTGTTACAGCGATTGGCCTGCTGAGAGAGATGGAGCCAGGAGCCTTCGTTATTCGGGACAGTCACTCGTTCAGGGGGGCTTACGGCTTGGCCATGAAGGTGGCCTCCCCTCCCCCCACAGTGCATCAGAACAAGAAAGGTAAGAGGCAGGATGAAGCATAACATTTATAAAGTACTAATGCAACAAGTATTTATCAAAGATGTGAAGTGATGTCTGCATGTGACTCAGCTGTGTTTCCCGCTCTTTTGTTGCAGGTGACGTCAACAACGAGCTGGTCAGACACTTCCTGATTGAGAGCAGCCCTAAAGGAGTGAAGCTGAAGGGTTGTCCCAACGAGCCGTACTTTGGTCAGTGGAATCCTCAATCCTCCCTGAAATACACTTTTACATTCACACTGATTAAAAGTGTAACACTAGTAGTGCTCCTTTTCTGCATGTCCTTCTGAGTTCCAAAACATGGAATCCTACAATAAGAACAGTATTTAGTGATCCAACTCATGTTTACTTCAACCCAAAACTCAATTCATCACTCTTTTCCTTGTGTAAAGTTTCAGTTTGGATTATTGATGTTAATACTAAAAGAATGATGGTGTGCTTTTTTCTAACTTACTAAGAGTTTATTTTTCTTACCATTGTTAATCAAAGAAGCCATATTAACCAAATCCATTGATCCTAAAAAGTTGAATTGTGGAAAGAGGAAGAGGAAGTGTTTTGTAGCTGTATTGCTTGTCTGTGACGGTGTCCTGTGTCTGTTTGACAGGCTGTCTGTCTGCCCTGGTCTACCAGCATGCCATCACACCGCTGGCCCTACCCTGCAAGCTACTTATCCCAACCACAGGTCTGTTGCTCCAAATGTGTTCAGAAAGGTTCACGCATTTTCAATTGATGCTTTGTTGTGAGTGTGAGGTAGACTTTGAACACATTATGTAAACAGGATTTCTTCAACAAAAAGTATAACACAAGTTACACGAAGTAAATGGTTAGGATTATACAAAAGCCATGAGAGGAGAGTGAGAAACGTACATTTGGTGTTCCATTTTCTAACTCTAATGTAACATTTTGGGTAGTGATTATTTTGGTTGTTTTGACCACGACCAGTTCTGTTTGTTACACTTATTTTTGTCACAAGAGGCTGAAGAGCACCAAGACCCCATGTTCTAAATAGGACTAAGAGCATAATGATTTATTCCAGTTGAGTTTCATTTGGCCCTTCATACTTAAGCTCACCTGGAACAATATATTATTGATTTCAGAATGGGATGTGGTGCACTTCAGCCTCTAGCAGGAAGGATCATTACAGCAACACTTGGATTGAAGATTCCTACAAAGATGCTGCCATTTCTGTTAAACGTTATTGCTTTCTATCCCCCAATTTCCCGATTTAACAATAATATGGAATTTACTAAGATTTTTCTGGCAAAACCATTTTGGAATGGGAGGGATGAAACCCTCTTTAATGGTCACACATGCAGGGCACACAGCACACACAGTGATATTTGGCCTCTGCATTTAACCCATCCTAGTACCACGAGTCTAGTACTAGGAGCAGTGGGCAGCTATTGTACAGCGCCCGGGGAGCAATGGGAGTGGGGGGGGAAGGGGGTTGTCCGGTGCCTTGCTCAAGGGCACCACGGCAGGGCAGGAGGTGAACTCCCTCCCCAAGTAGCAGTCCACACTCCATATTTAGGTCTCTTCGGGGACTTGAACCGGCAACCCTACGGCTCACAGTCCAAGCCCCTACTGACTGCAAAGCATGTTATTTCGCTAATAGCCATTNATTTAGGTCTGCAGGTCCGTTTCAAAACCAAAACAGAAAATCACCGGTTTAGTTTACATTCACTTTGGATAATAACAGGGGAGAAATGAGCGGAAAGCTCTCTCTCTCTCTCTCTCTCTCTCTCTCTCTCTCTCTCTCTCTCTCTCTGATCCAGTAATGAGTGACCCGACAGTGAAGAATAAACATATTTATAACTAGTTTAGATAAAATAGCTAAGTGTGTAAGGTCTAACTCTTAGTGTGTATTTTGCTCCGCTCACCAGTCCGTCACAGCGGGTGGAGCTGCAGGATTTCTGCTTCACACTCGTTGCATACCGCTATTTTATTGTCTTTTTCGGACACCTTAAAATACTGTCAGACCGGTGAAGGCATTTTGGCGGGCTTGTTTTGCCGCGCACTGAGAAAAGTGTCATGTATTTTACGATAACGATCAGCGGGCGATCGATCGGAGCATCCCTACTCCAAACCCAACAGGAGCCCTTATTGCAACTCAGTACATTTTTGGCAACTTTGTTGTATTATTTTACTTTTTTAGATCTCCTTGAGGAGGTGCCAGAAGTCGCTGCACCGAATCCTCTGGCTGAGAGGTTGAAACAAGGAGCAGGTAAAACATAATCTCACTTTCATTCATTCTCATTTCTTAAAGCCAACCCAGCTTTGAGATTCTAGGACATTAATAATGAAGTTATCATCATCCTATGCACTTGTTCTGACAACATGACATCCTTGTTATCCCAGTGCAGAGGGCCCCTGCTGATGCCCATGGTAAACCCTGTGCACTTTTATTCAGAAACCTACATCTGGAATGTGCACCCTCTATGTTTGTACGTGTATGTTTAACCTGCACAAACCAAGATAAATTATAAATGGCTTCCATTTGACGGATTGTGTCTGTTAACAGCTTCTTGTCTGTCAGAGGCAGAATGTTTTATGTGGAATTACTTCTATGGATTCTTTTCTAAAACTGTTTGATTCCAGCTTTCTTCCAGACAGCATGTTCTCAAATAAGAGGAAATACATATGTTTGCATGAATAGGTGAACATAGGCATTTTGAGCAGAATTCAAAACTAGTGTGTTATATGTTTCCTTGTTTTAAGCCTTTACTTTGACATTTCTTGTTGCCTGACCAAGACATTTGCTCTCTTCCCAGCATGCAACGTGCTCTACATCAACTCAGTAGACATGGAGTCCCTGACAGGCCCTCAGGCTGTTGCCAAAGCCATATCTGAGACACTGGCTGCCACCTCCCCAGCTGCTGCCACCGTGGTGCACTTCAAGGTGTCTTCACAAGGCATCACATTGACCGACAACCAGAGGAAGTAAGTCTGGATTCCACCTGTCTGTCTACTGTTAAACAATGTTTAAAGAATGACTCAAGATCTACATTGCATGACATGTGGAGATTTAGCTGCAGCTAGAGGGTTGTCTGAACACGTAAGATACACAATTTCGTTTTTTCGTGTCAGCAGGAGCCACTGCACACATTCAGAGGCAATACATACCTGTTAACACAGGATTAAAGTATGAGGGTTGTGTCATATCTGACAGTGCTTCCATCAAGAACACAATTTTGTTTTGTGTTCAGTACCAAGGTAAATAAAACCTTAAACCAAATAATACTTTAAACATGAACTGATCCATCACCATAAGCTTATCGCAAACATATTGAAACTGTTTTAGAAATAGATGTAGGATTATATAAATACCAAAGCTATGTTAGGGGTTATATATATCATGTCCTGTCCATCATATATAATTTTGATTTTATATCAGCCAATATTTAATCATAATATTTGCCTCAAAAACTTAAGGAATTGAGCAATGATGTTGATTTACACTGATAGACTATAAGAAGTCAACATAGTCACCTTTGTTTGAGTTAGGCATCACCATCTTGATGTTTGGAACTAGCAGTGACACAAGAGAGTGGAGCTTAACACAACATAACTCGATATTTTACGGTGATCAAATGTTACAGTTAACTTCATGAACAGGACAACAATGTGGTAGCAGCCTGTAAATCCCAAGGTATTCACGCTAGAGCATTTTTGTTATTTTTTTACCAAATGAACATCATGCTGTATTGAAGAAGACTTAAAGCTAGCAATGTAGACCATAAGACTGTCACTGTGACTGTGGTGGTAAATCCAGTGAGAAGTAAGGTCATTTTCTCACAGACTTGCAATCAGGCTTCTTTTGCCACAATTTGGTCATTGGAAAGAAGTCAAGTAAATGGCCCCTTGATCACAAAGCAACTACAAAGACCAGAACATTTGAGGGAAAAAAAACACACATAGTCACAAAAGGTGCTACAAGTGGACTTTCGGTGATGCACGAGGCTGATGGCAGCAAGATACTGAGCGCTGAACAAAATCCCCCCTTTTTTCATATTTATTGCAACTCATGGACAGTAATAACATACATTTGAGCAAAGAAATGTCTTCAGTAAAGAAGGATAAGGCTCCGACTAAAAACAAGAATCTAACAGACAACAGCAAGCTAGCGATTCACCCGCCGATATAGCTATGCTAATCAAGCAAGCTATCGCGGATGAGATGGAAACTCTGCAGGGAACAGTAGCAGACATGCTAAAGCAGGGGTGGGGAACCTCCGGCCCCCGGGCCGTATACGGCCCGCGAGACCAATTGGTGCGGCCCTCGAGGTAATTTATAAACACACGCAAAAAATAAAAAAATTAATGAAATCAAGACCCCAAAAAAATTAAACAAGCGAGTGCCTGTTTTTCCTGGCCAAGGTCAGGGTCCTTGAACACAACACGAGCCTAACGTGTCATCACGTGGAATATATCTCGTCTTACAGGGGTGCAGTTCTGCCGGAGAGCACCAGAACGTCGCTCCGGAACTTTCACAAATTGCAGTACCCATAAGCACATGCCGCAGTTTTTGCGTGGCTGTGTCTTTAGTTGTAAGCCCAGTGGTGATCTGTTCATCTGTCATACTAATCATACAGTCAATAACTTTGTTGTTATTAGCATCTGGTTAGCTAGCTATGCTAACGAATATAAGAAGCTTTTTCTACAACCAGTGAGGTAAAGGCACATCTTTATAGGATCATTATAGTTATACAAAAATAAGAGAATAAAGTAAACAGGTATAACATACTATATGACATTAAAAAAAAAAGTTGTTATTAATAAACAAGAATACAGTTTGAAGGAGAGTGATTTGTAAAATATCCATAAAGAAAAAGAAATCTGCTTACAGTTCTGTTTCATATGGGTGTTGAGAGATGTATCCATAGATCTCTTCATGTTGCTCTCAAAGTGCACCAGATTGATGCTTACAACTTCAACATTTAAAAAAAAATCTCCACGGGGGAGCATGCCCCCTGGACCCCCCTATAGGAGGTTAGGTCCCCCCCGCCCACTTAAATCATGTTCACATGGATAGGAAACTAAACACATTTGCACACATCTTGTGTCCAATATACTTTCTGTTTTGGTGGTCATGCCACACCGTGCACGTGCATGCATGCACGAGTCATGGTAAGATATCTGGATTAAGAGGTTGCTTTTTCTTTGCACGGCATGAAAGAAGGCGAAATTAATGGGCTGTGTATTTTAGTATTTTTAAGTAGTAGGTCAATAATTTGTACGGCCCTCGGAGGATGTAGAAAAATTCGAAATGGCCCTTGAGAGGAAAACGTTCCCCACCCTGG